ACAGTATCAGAAGTTCGAGAATGAGATGACCATGCCGGCGCCCGAGAAGGAGGTGGTGGGCGGGGCGACCTCCCCGGCTGGCTCCACCCCCAATGGCTCCGTCGACCCGTCACAGCTCAACTTCCAGATCAGTGGACACGCCCAGGAGACCAATGGAAAGTAGGTAGATCGGTGGGATTTTCTAATTTTTTGTCTGTTTCTGTTTTTCTGGTTTTCTGTTTTTTTTTATTTGTTTGCTGTCTTTATCTTTTTTCCTCTGTCTCTCTTTCTGTTTTTTTCCTGTTTCTTTTGTATTTTTCCTGTTTTCTCCTCGTCTTTTTTTTTACTGTTTGTCGTCTTTATCTTTTTTTCTCTCTCCGTCTCTCTTTCTGTATATAGATCTGTGGGGATTTTCTCTTTATTTCCTGTTTCTTGCTTCCCTCGTCTTTATCTCAATTTTTTTTCTTTTGTTTTCTCCTCATTTTTTCCTTTTTTTATCTTTTTTTTCTCTCTGTGTGTCTCTCTCCTTTCCTTCGTCAGTTTGTAGCACGCTCAGGAAACCTATTTTCTCTTTTTTCTTATCTTTCTCCTTCTGTTTCTTTGTCATCATCTGTGCTTCCTTCGTCTTTTTCTTTCTTGTTTGCCGCCTTTATCTTTTTTTTTTCCCTCTGTATCTCACTTTCTGTTTTTCTTCGCCAATTTATAGCACGCTCAGGAAACCTATTTTCTCTTTTTCTTATCATTCTCCTTCTGTTTCTTTTTCATCTTCGCTTTCCTCGTCCGAGAGACGCTCAGGAAACCGATGGAAAGTATATAGATTTGTGGGGATTTTCTCTTTCTTCTTTCCTCTTTTCTCCTGTTTCCTTTTTCTTCTTCTTCTGTGCTTCCCTCTTCTTTTTCTTTGCCTTCTTCGTCTTCCTTTTCTTTGCGTCTCTTACGGAAAGTATATAGATTTGTGAGGATTTTCTTTTTCTTGTTATCTTTCTTTTGTTTTCCTTCCATCTTCTTTATCTTTCCTCCTCTTTCTTCTTTCCCTTCTTCCATTATTTCAACTGCTTCTTTTTCAACTTCTTCTTTGCCTTCTTCGTCTTCCTCCCTCTTTATCTTTTTCTGCACGACCAGAAAACCATGTATTTTTTCTTTCTTTCTTTGTGTTTTTTCTTTCTTTCTTTTCCTATTTTTCTTTTTTTTTCCTATTCCCTGGTTCTTCTGTAGATCTGTAGGACATTTTTCTTCTTTCTTTTTCTCTTTTGGTCATTTTTCCTATTCCCTTTGGTTCTCTGTAGATCTGTAGGACATTTTTTTTCTTTCTTTCTTTTTCTCATTTTCATTTTTTCCCATTCACTGGTTCCTCTTTTCTGTCTTTCTCTCCCCTTCGCCCAGGGAGAGAAACGTCAAGGAACTTCAATGGAAAGAAAGTAGGTTTGGTAGTTTTTTTTGCTTCTTTTTTTCATTTTCTTATCTTCGTTTCTTCCAATTCCCTGGTTCTTCTTGTTTCTGGTCCTTTTCTGCTTCCGTACGTCAGGGAGAGACGCTCAGAAAACCAATGGAAAGGATGTATGCCATGAATTTTTTCTTTCTTTCTTTTTCTCTGTTTTCGTTTTTTTTTTTCTTCTTTTTGTTTTGCCTTTCTCTGATTCTTTTTTCTGTCTTTCTGCTTCCCTTTCGTCAAGGAATTCAGTGGAAAGTATGTAAACTTGCGGGAATCTTTTCTTTCTCTCTTTCTTTCTTTCTTTCTTTCTTATATTCCTTTTTATGTTTATTTTTCCTGTTTGCCTTCTTTTTTAGTTTGATTCTGGTTCTTTTTCATCTTTTTTTTTCTCATTCTTACTCGTCTTTTCTCTGTGTCTCTTTCTGCTTTTCTTTGTCAGGGAGAGACGCCCAGAAAACCAAGAGAAAGTATGTAGGTTTGTGGAGATTTTTTTTGCTTTTGCTTTTCATCTCTTTCGTATTCTGCTTTCTTTCTTCTTTTTCTTTTTCTTCTCCCTCTTTCTAACTCCTCTTGTTTTTTTTGTTGTTGTTTGTTTGTTCGTTTTTTTGTGCCTCTTTCTATATTCCTTTCGCACAGTGGAAAGCCATCAGAAGGATATGTACCGTATATTTCTTTTCCGTTTCTCCTCCTTCCTCCCTCCTGCCTGCCTTCTATCCTCCTTTCTTTCTGCTTTCCTCCTCTCCTCCTCCTTCTCCTCCCCTCCTCCTCCCCCCCTCTCCTCCTCCCCTTCCTCTCTCTCTCCTCCTCTCCTCTCCTCCTCCCTCCTCTCCTCCATCTCCTCCTCTTTCCTTCTCTTCCTCCTCTTCCTCCTCTTCCTCTCCTCTTCTCCTCCTCCTCCCTCCTCCTCCTCTCCCCTCCTCCTCCTCCTCCTCCTCCTCCTCCTCCTTCCCTCCTCCCCTCTTCCTCCTCTTCCTCCTCTTCCTCCTTCGCCTTCGTCCTTTTTCCACGGTACCACACAACTAATGGATAGAGTGTTCTTTTACGAAATAGTTGCTAGAATTCCTGCTGTCTCTCTTCTGTTTCTGCTCCTATTTCTTACTTTATCACCATCTCCCTCTCCCTTGCCCTTTCCTTTCCCTTTTTCTTTCCATTTTCTCCCTCTCACTTTCGTTCTAGCTTTCCCTCTATCTCTAACTCTCCTTTTTTTCTCTCCCTCTCCCTCCCCTTCTATCTCTATCTCTCCTTCTCCCTCTACATCGCCCTCTACATCTTCCTCTCTCTCTCTTCCTCTCTCTCTCTCTCTCTCCTCTCTCTCTCTCCTCTCTCTCTCTCTCTCTCTCTCTCTCTCTCTCTCTCTTCTCTCTCTCTCTCTCTCTCTCTCTCTTGTCTCTCTCTCTCTCTCTCTCTCTCTCTCTTCTCTCTCTCTCTCTCTCTCTCTCTCCTCTCTCTCTCTCTCTCTCTCTCTTCTCTCTCTCTCCTCTCCCCCCTCCCTCCCTCCTCCCTCCTCCCTCCCTCCCTTCCCTCCCCTCCCTCCTCTCTCTCTCTCTCTCTCTCTCCTCTCTCTCTCTCCTTTCCCTCTTCTCTCTCTCCCTACTGCTCCTCTCCTTTTTCTCCTTCCTCTTTTTTTAATTCTCATCTCCTCCTTCTTCCTCTATTCCTTTCGCAACTCAACTTTCACTTCGACAGGCACACAGACAAGGAGCCAAATGAAGTATATTCTTTGTTGTCTTTTTTTTGTCCCTTGTCTCTGCTTCTCTCCAGGAGATTGGCTGCTTCCGTTCACCTCCTCCTCTTCCTCTTCTTCTTCCGCTTCCTCCTTCTCCTTCTCCTTCTCCTTTCATCTTGCTCTTCCTGCTTCTCATTCTCCTTTTTCTTTTGGTTCTCCTTCTCCTTTCCTTCACCCCTCCCCTACTCCTCTCCTCCTGTCCCTTCTTCTTTTTTTTCTTCTTCTTCTTCGTCGTCTTCTTCTTATTCTTGTTCTTCTTCTCCTCCTCCTCCTGCTCCTTTCCTCCTCTCTTTCTACTTTTCCTCCTCCTCCTCCTTCCTTCTTCTCCTCTCACTCCTCCTCCTCCTACTTACTACTCCCCCTTCTTCTTCTCCCTCCTCCTCCTCCTCCTCCTCCTCTCCTCCCTCCTTCTCCTCTCACTCCTTCCATCTCCTCCTGCTCTTCTTCCTCCTCTTCTCCTCCTCCTACTCCCCCTTCTTCTTCTCCTCATCTTCTTCCTTCTCCTCTTACTCCCCCTCCTCTTCCTGCTCCTGCTCCTCCTCTTCTTCTTCTTCTTCCTCTTCCTTCTCCTCCTCCTCCTCCTCTTCCACCTCCTCTTCTCCCATCCTTTCTCTTTCTCAGTTTCCTTCTATTCCTTCTCCCTCTTTCATTTTATCTTCCTTCTTGTTGCTTAACTTTTGGAAGTTAAAGATTTCCTGTCTTAATTCTCCCTCTCTTCAATCTCCTCTTACTCCTCTTTCCTTCCTCCGACTCTTCTTTCTTCTTCATCTCCTTCTTCTTCATCTTCTCCTTCTTCTCTTGCTCTTATCTCCTTCCTTCCAAATTTTCAACTTTCGGAACCCATTCCCCTTACTCCCCTCCTTCCTTTCCTCCCCTTTTTCTTTTCTCTTTTCATCTCCTTCTCTTTCTTCTCTTTCTCTTATCTCCTTTCTTCCAAATTTTCACTCCTTCGGACGCATCTCTTCTTACTCCTCCTCCTTCCTTCCTCCTCTTCCTCTTTCTTCTTCCCCTTCCCTCTCTTTCTCTTATCTCCTTCCTTCCAAATTTCCATTACTCCGGACCCATCTCCCCTTACTCTCCCTCCTTCCTTCCTCCCCTTCTTCTCCTTCTCCATCGCCTTCTTCTCTTTCTTCTCTTTCTCTTATCTCCCTCCTTCCTTCCGGACGCATCTCTTCTTACTCCTCCTCCTTCCTTCCTCCCCTTCTTCTTTCCTCTTCTCCTTCTCCATCTCCTTCTTCTTATTCTTCCCTCTCTCTTATCTCCTTCCTTCCAAATTTCCACTCCTCCTTCCTTCCTCCCCTTCTTCTTTCTTCTTCTTTCGTCTTCTTCTCCTTCTCCTTCTTCTCTTTCTCTTATCTCCCTCCTTCCAACCTTCCACTCCTTCGGACGCAGCCAAGGAACCAGCTCAAAGCGCCTTTTGCTCTTTGCTATTTCTGTCTCCGTCTCCTTGGTCCTCTTCTGAAGATTTGCGGGTATTAAGTTTTCTCTCACCTGCTCCTCTTGGTTATTCTTTATTCTTCTTTCTTTCTTCGTGTTCTTGTTATTTCTTCTGTTTATGCGTCATTATTATCATCTTTTTTCTGTTTCTTCTTCGTTTTGATTCTTTTTCTTTCTTCTTTTTCTTCTCCTTTTTTCTTCTTTTGATTTTTTATTCTTTCTTCTTCTTCTTCTTTTACTCCTTCTCCCTTCATCTTTTTCTTCTTTCTCCTGTATCTCCTCTCTTTCTCTACTTTATCCATGTTTTGTATTTTATATTTGCATATGCAAATGCAAACGTATTGCAATACTTTTAACTGTGATATAGAGACCAGAGAGACGACTATATTTACACACAAATATTAATCATGCGAAAATGTTTGTTGTTGTTTATAAAAGCAGAATTTCATGCATGAATAAAGATCTATTGAACATCGTGCTTGTTAGAAATAATAAAACATTTTTTTTTTTTATTATGAGCTAAAGGAGAGTGATTTGGCGTCTTTGCTAAACGTGTCGAAGTGACGTAAAACACCATTTATGTGT